AGAGAGAGGGAGATGTATATGTGATAACGGTGGTGCGTTGCGTTTAACGACGTGGAAACGGAGATAACGGGTGTGTAGATTGCGCTCTCGCCGGGGCCCGTAATAGATTTATTATTTGTAATGTGAGGACCAATACGGAAACCTGAATAATTTAAAGTCACCGAGGATGATTTCGTGCGCGGAGCGGCCGGAATTAGCGCATAATCAATGCCGGAGTTACAGACGTTAGTGACGTACGAGTGTTACGGTATTAGCGTGAGTGCAGCCATTGGTTATGGATCAATTGCATTCGGGAGGGTCCGATCGGCGGTTACGGCCCTGTGCGGAAACTGCACAATCCTGCAATGATGCATCGGAACGCCGGTAATTTCCACGATGCGCCATCCGCCATTCCACTCCGCATACTGACTAAAGTGTTCGGTCTGCAAGTCTGCTGGCTTTCGTCCGATCTGCTTGTTTCTGGATCGATCATTTCGAACTCTGCGGCGCACGTGCGGGCCTACGTCTAATAGCGGCGCATATCACGCATAACCCTTGATAGAGAATCCCATTTAGCGCAGTGGTTCTCGAAACTTTCCTAGCGCAAGCTCTAAAACTCATGCCCCCCTATCGCGATCGCTTATGTACGTAATCCATTCATGGTGAAGGCCGAAGAAGAGCATCGCTAGTAGTTTACCTAGTCGCTGTGACGGCCATTAATCATTTCGCTCGCAAATTACATTCATTCGCTGGTCACGGCGGTATGTCCGAGAGGAAGAGAGAGAGAGGGAGAGAGAGAGAGAGAGAGAGAGGGGGGGGGGAGAGCCGGTACGGTTATATCTCATAAAGCTCCATGCGAGCTTCCACGTCGGACTTCTGTCAATTTCGAAATTTATCGCGTAGCCGCACTACAAAGTAATTGAATAACGTGTTCGCGTTACAGCGACAATACAACGACAGGGAATTACATTTCTTTAAAGCTGTTTATGCGCAAAGGCGCACAATAAGGATCGTACCTTCTCGGCGAGGGGCTTTTCGCGGTAACCGCGATTACATAAATCCAGGAGAAACGAGAGCGCGGTAATTAAATGCGACTACAATTGAAAGTTCTTCGGGGCTGCCGCAATTTTTCGAGGAGACGCGCGCGCGCGCGCGCAGGAGATATCCTGCCGACAGGATAAGATAAGGATACCTCGGGCGTTGTGCTTTGCGCAGAATTAATTAACAGAGGGCACGGATGTGCTTTTCTTCTCCGTTTCGTCTCTTTTCCATCGCTTTCTCATTATTTGACACGCACACAGTTCCTTCCACAGATCCGATTTTAACTTTAACGGCAGAAATTGCATGACCTCACATTCGATCCTCGTCCCGTTGGCAACAACCGTCTGAAGAACGAAAGATTAATTGACCTTCTTTATCTCAACTGCCTTCCCAGCGAAACTTCGTAGTCGTGTTACTTTGCTTTATATCAGTGGTTCTCAACGTAGTCGATATTGAAGGGAAGAAGAGGGAGAGAAAGAGAGAGAGAGAGAGAGAGAGAGAGAGTCGGCAAAACTATCTAGAAAACGATAAATATCTAAACGTTGAAGGAAAGTCGATACAACGATATAATCTTAACAAGTTTGCGGGACATCGATTTGATGTGAAGAACCTCTTATTCTGCATTGATTATTTCGTGAAAAGATTAGTGGACAAAACGGCAACAAAATTAATGGTTATAAATTAAGTATTCAGTCACTTAAGAGATTAAAAGTGCGTGTCACGTCACGTTTCATTTCATTAGCCATTACATCTACGTAACATTTTCCTTATTCGAAGTCCGTTGTAAGCGTTTAACATTTACAATGGTTAGAAAGACGGGAAGCAGATTTACTCGTATGGTGAGCTCTAACACATTCCGATATCATTACGTTTTAGTTACATTATGCTAGTGAATGCCACATAAAGTATTTGGTGGATCCTCCTGGCAAGCGGTGAACGGTCGCTAAAATCTATGTGCATAACGTAGCCCGCCCGTAATTAGCTCGCTTCGTTGCATTTTACGAGTGCGGCAACGTCACTTGATTATACGGCCACTTAGAATATTAAACGATAAAGCATGGTCGAACGCATTGTCGGCACCGATAGCCGTTCGGCTCGTTTAATTCGCCCTGCACGTCGCTTAAACCTTATTACGTGCGTGCATAAGCGATCACGTATGCCTGTTAATAAATTTCTCTTCGCATGCCGTGAGCAGCTCGGAATCGGTATTTTCCTAACCGCGAGCTGCCGACGTAATTGCGCGGATAATAATCGACGCTCATGAGCCGGAAGAAAGGAGAGAAGGGAGTAAAGCTGCAGGGAATGTACTAGATCATGCTTGATATGCCACGATTAATTTATGATGCCCCGCGCTTCGCGAAGGTGTTTCCACGTAAAACGGGAGAACTTTGAAGCCGTCTACACGGACGAATTAAATAGCATCATAAATCGTCATGTGATATTCTTAGCCGTTCTCTATCAAATTCAGCGATCTAATTATACCCAAATTTGCATCAACTTAATTTTTTTATTGTTGAGAGAGAGGGGGGGAGAGAGAGAGAGAGAGAAAATCAGAATTGTTATTTATTAAACGCTCTAGGACAGGTCCCCTAAAGCGTATGGTTATTACAGTTGTATTCATAGGACTGAACTAAATGCTTATATCACAATGGTACAGTATAGTATAAAAAAGAAAAGAAAAAGTAAGATAAAGTAAAATAAAAATAAGAAATAGAAAATTCAAGAAACAAGCCTAAAAAGCACATTGTGCACTGAAAAAAATTTCTGGTTGAATATGGACGAATCAGATAATTCCTTTAGGATTTACCAGAATTCCTTTAGGATTTACCAGAATTCCTGTAATCCTACAGAAATTCTGGTAAATCCTAAAGGAATTATCTGATTCGTCCATATTCAACCAGAAATTTTTTTTCAGTGTGTAGTTCCGAGTGTCAATATTTTTACACCTCTTCTCATTACATATTTTCGATATTGAATAAAGAGTTGAGAGAAAACAAGCGATGTGCGTACATACAGGCGTGAATATCTATGCATAAAAAGGGTAGGTATAATGAAACATTGAAACACCATATCGCGCGCGATATGCGCAGCTCCGTTAACGCGGTTTCACGTTTAATAAGTTCAACGTTGTTTCATTTTATGCGGTTTGTTCGCGATGAAACTTGCAATCGGCGACAAACCGATCGTAACAAACAGTGTAAACTACGAATGCATATGCGCTGGGATGCGGTGGCATTACAGATGTTTGACGATGTCCGCATATTATTGCTTTTTAAATGGCGCGTTTCAGAGGCCGATTCATCCCGCCCGTCGTTAAACGTATTGCAAATTCGTTGTCATCGCGCAACATTCAAAACTGGTTTGATTATTACTGTCGCAAATTTAAATCGTCAGCGCGGTATTACGGATGCCGCCGAGTCGTTTTTGGTCCCGCATTTTTGATGCCCGAATATTCAATATTCGACAATCGGCCGCGTTGTTCAGGAATTAGTTCGCTTACGGCTGGCTCGACAGCGAGCGCATACAGCCGTATACGCATAGAGCGGGAAAAGGGATCAACTTACATTGAGATGCGCGGTGTTCCATTTCCAATCACGTGAAATTAACAAGCAATTGTAACAGGAATTAATTTCGAGTGCGTGAGACACGTTGCTCCCGTTTGATTGAAAGAATTAAAACATTTTAATTTCATATTTTATTGACATGTAATTGTCTGATCGTCGAAATATGGATCGTATTAATTTTTTATATATCAGATTTCGATGCGTATCGCATCGGGGAAAAAAACGGGTAATGGCTGAAATCGCCAGCAATTTTTGTGTAGTCAATTAAAAAACGTAACGACCGCGCGTGGGGTTAAAAATCTTGAAATTATGCGCTCCACCATGGTCGAAGTGAAAAACTGGCGCGATTCAACGCGGCGTGAAATTAAGTGGTTTCGCGGAGATTAATACCGGCCGATTACAGCTAAAAATACGTTCTCGAGCAGCGGCCGACATGGCCGTACGCCGCCGTTAGTAATTGTAATCTTTTTGTTTTTCTCCCCCCCCCTCCGTTTTTTATTATGCAAATGCGGCGCTTGCGTGCGGATATCATCGGGCTTTCGCGATCGCGTGCGAATTTCTTGGTACAACGTATCGTCCACCGTTATTAGCGGCCGCGGCTTATCAGGGCACGTATGATTGCATAACGATTCCGACTTTTCAGAGTTTATTGCGCGCTGTGTACTTTCGTTCGCGGCTGATAATGGCCTGACGATCAATCACCGCGGTAATGTTCTCGCGTATACCGCCGTCGTCCTTTTTTCCTTTGCGCGATGACTAATTCGCGCTACTCCGGCCGGGGGTTGTAAAAAGAGCGGTTGCAACCTCCAGGGGTTGATACCCGACGCGAGTGCATCCGGCCGGTGGCGATGTATTATTCAACGGTTGCCTTTTTTTCATCCCTCAAGAAAGTAATGCCTATCGTAAAGTTGACTGATTACGAGACAAGGTGGGCGAAAACACGCACCGAGAACGCGCCGATAAAGCTCGGGCAAAATGCGGGCAAAAAGAAGATAATTCGCGTGTCCCAGTTATATGCATTGCATAGGCACAGTTGTAGTGCAGCGGTCCGACATCGCATTTTTTTTTAAGTTCCAACACGCCGCGCCCTTAGTAGTTATGGCACTTTTTCACGCGCGTTTTACTTCTTCTCCAACCTGCCCTGCCGTTTAGCGTTTTTTTCCGCGTGGGCGATTTCTGATACGGGCACGTGTACGTATGTACATATACAAGATCGATGAAAAAGCGATGTTTCGTAAAGAAAATTATTAAATTGCTTAAATATACGTACGGATTACATCACACACACACACACACACACACACACACACACACACACACACGCGCGCGCGCGCGCGCGCGCGCGCACAAGTACAAATTATTATTTAAATTGTTCGCAGATTACTTTTAATTGAGTAGAGTTAATTTGATATACATATAAACTCTACAGTTAAATTGAAAACTAGTATTTCCAAAGACTGCTTTCAAAAAGTTACATCGCGTGAAAACAGCTTCGGCTCGATATTAAAACAAATGACAGAAATAATCGATGGTGACCGAGTTCTTTGACAGCAATCGCGGAGTAAATTTTTCGTGTCGGTTACATTGCGGGAGCCCCGTTTTGTATGTTTTTAACAGTAATATTGGCCCTACATTGCGGATGTAATTCGTATGCACGTCAACGATTATTGCAAAAATGTCGAGAAAGGAGACAAAGACTGAGAGAAAGGGACGAAAAATAAAGCCTATGAAAATCGCTGCTCTAGTCGTCTCTGCTATACAGGATCTTCGCGAATCCAAGGGCTCCACGTCCAAAAAGATTGCCGGATACATTAGTTACGCTTCAAGCATGCCAGAACAGCGCGTCAAACAACAAGTTAGCACAGCCAGGGTCTTACTTTTTAACACAATTTCAATAATCTTCCATCCAATAGCCGAAATTATATTTTTTATGCCCATAACGTGATGTATGCGCTCAGTGTACATCGATGGGCAGAATGATTGCAACACTTCTTTTTTAAATGAGTTTAGGAACGCGTATTTAGGTTCAGGGGTACGTTCCAAAATCTTCTTCTGCAAGGAGTATTTTATTCGATAGCCATTTCAAAACCATTTTGAAAGTTTCCGATCTATTTCTCGAGTAAAATTCTCCTTAAAGATAATGTTTTTGAACAAAACTTACTATATTACATTTGTCGTACGACAAATTTTTTAAGCGCATTGATTGGCTACAAGCTAGATTTCTAGATACTTGAAACCTTTTTTATCCTGCAGCCAATTGACACGCTTGAAAAATCTGACAAATGTAAAGCGTCGTCTACAATAACCGGCGTAAGCGTGGAGTAAGAAGTAAGAGTAGGCGTAAAAGAGCTACTTCCGGTTTAATAGAGCTGGAGTAAGGGCGTGAGCGAAATGAATTATTTTTATTTCTTACGCCTACTCTTACTCTTACGCCTTTTCACGCATGCCTACAACACCTACTTCACCGTATTGTAGATTGAGTCGGCGTAAACAGCTTACGCCAAAAACGTTACTCCTACTCTTACTTCTTACTCCACGCTTACGCCGGTTATTGTAGACGACGCTTTATACAAGTCGAAACCTGGGGGTTTACTGCGATCCTCGGGTTGGGTGAAAATGACAAAGGTGAGTAGCTTTGTCTCTTTCTAACTGTCCCTTTAGTAAGAGACAAGGCCGCTCGCTTTCGTCATTTTCACCTAATCAGAGAACCGTAATAAACCTCCTGAATCTAAATGCACGTGTCTCATTAAAAAACTCATTAAAAAAAAGCATTGCAACCATTCTGTCCATCACTGTACGCCGTGGTAATGCTTGTGATTTTGATTGGCCGAGTGTTATAAACGCCTTAACGTTCACACCATTGGCGCAATGTCGTGATTCCAAGCAACAAACGAAAGCGTTGATTGAAATCAACGTCGGAAATCTTTTTTGTGCCTTTTCTATTTTCACGTGTCAATCACTGTCGCAGGCATGCGTATGTAAAGGCCGTACGAGTGCCAAGTTCGTGTCAATTCCGCAAATCGTTCCGAATAACGATATTTTAATGGAAGGGAATCGAAAATTTGTTCAGCGGTGGCTCCCGTTTTATAAATGGCGAGATCGAAGATCGCGCAGCCGCGTCATTTCGGACCTCGGCGATCGCACAGTTGACCTTTCGTGCCGCGCACTCGCGTTCGCTTTACCCTGAGCATAGAGACCCTGCAATCAGAGACTGGCCATAAGAGTTCGTCAAATTCCCGCGAGTGAGAGGGAAACATAGGCTATCTCACTCTTTTGTGATCGTAGAATCGTAGAAGAGTGAGATGTTTCTCTCTCACTCGCGGGAATTTGACGAACTCTTATGGCCAGTTTCTGATTGCAGGGGTCTCTACCCTGAGCCTGCAAGCTTAGTCATCGGCGTTTTCGCGATACCCCAGGTGAAGGCAGCCTTGAAGCGAGGCGTGGAGTACGGTATTCTGCGAAGATATCGTGGCCACTACTTCCTTCCCACCGACGACGAACTGGACCGCGCGAATCGCACCGCCGTGCGATTCGCGAGATTGCCGACGCCCGCGCCAACGCCCGCCAGGTCAAGGGCCATTTCCTCCCGCGGGCTGAGGGACAGTAAGGGACCCCGAGGAATTGATAATAGATCGCGAAAGAGTAAAAAAGTTGGGAAAACCCGCACCCCCGCTGTCTCAGCAAGACCGAGTTTGACGGACAAAATTGCCGGTGACGTCGCGTCCGTGACTGAGTGAAATTATTTAGCAGCCCATGTACAGCTTCGGGAAAAGACTTTCCCCGTGTAATACGACATTGAAGCGCGTCCTGTCCTGCGTTCTTCCCCTCCGTGCTACCGCGTGGCACGTGTGCGTTTGTAAATAACTTCTAGTTGCTTCTCATTGGCAATCAGCTGAGTGACATAAATTGGATTGTACCTGCGTATAATTGAATTGATTCTAAATGTAATATACTGCGCCTGTATGGTCAAATGACAAGGAGGTATTTTGGGCAGTTATTAGAATAACAATAGACGAGAGCTCCCTATTATGAGACAGGCTCCTAATACGAGACATCGGGATTTCCTGCTAAATTAACAGGCATCGTCCGTTGGCTCCACTGTGATTTTACTGGAGTGAAATCTGCTTATAGACTGTACGTGTAATTGTTGCAATACCCGCTGTCTTATATTAGAAGTCCATCTCATAATAGAGGACTTTCCTCTATTTAGATGATAAATAATCGTGTTCGGAGCAGAGTTCCATTATTACCGAGATTTTAATACCTCTCGGCGGAGCGGGATGGACGATGGTCTTAGGGACGATCAATCGTGGGGGACGAATCAATCGTTTTCTATTACAACGGTATATCGATTTACCCGACCTGACGTACCGCCGGCCCCTCCGCCCGTCCCCGCGCTGTGGCAGAATTAAGTGAAATGAGGAACGAGGTTTTTTTTCGTAAATTGCACCGGAGGCAAGACGACCATTTATAAAAGTTAGGAGCTTCTTACCCGGGCCGATAAACTTAATAGCTTCAGAAATTTACGGGGTTTGGCATGCTGAGGAGAAAATTTTGTGCGCCTCTGTTTTCTCGCGATCGATCGCCCGCTATTTCTTCCTTGTTTTATTGGATACATCCGCGCCATTACGCCCGCGAAATAATTTTGTTCTCACTCCGTCCTGCATCTCTCTCCCTCTATGTATTCTCTATGTATACGCGTCTTGTAGTGCAATATCTTCGATGGAACATATTTACGGCGCCGTGACGGTGGATTTAACGGCGGGTTGTGTAAGTTACGGTCCCTGTGACTATGCGAGAAAAAGCAATATAAGTCGTAAAAGGCGCGAATATAATATCGGCCGATGATACAAAACGCAGTAATGTAGTGTCGATCGATGCGGCGTATTGAAAATCTGGTAATTACGATCGATAACTTCGCACGTCGCGGTACGATGTTGCGCTCGCTATGGCTACCCGATAATGCCTGGATTAATTTGATGCCGGGATCGTATGGCCGCATAATTACGTTCGCGTAGAAAATGACGAGGCACGTCGTTTGCTCCAAGAATTTTCTCCCGCGCTGCAGAAGGCTCGCTTATCGCGCTTAATTGAACTTTACAGATGCGAATTCCACATGTTGAAACTGGTATTAAAACGAGCTTCAAACTCTAAATAATTAGAAACGAGCGCTTAAGTTGCAAGAATATAACATGCCTGGTAAGTTAGTCAGTCGAGCGATGTTAGAAATGCAATAAATAAGAGATGAAATGGTTACACCTTCTAGGTGTACCTAGGCGCACCCGTTCTTTCGGTTACCTTATTCTATTTGCGCGCATGGCACGCACACATCTCCGCACAACGGGTTTACCCCTTTTTTTTGCGGAGTTCACGCGAGTTATATTGGTTTACTTGGAATTTCGGAAGCAAACTGGAATACAGTTGGTGTTTCGTGAATTTGTTTCGAGACGACTGGTCTGGAATTCCGCCGGGATCCGATTAAATTCCGTGAGAGAAATGGTTTTAGTCCCGACGGCCTATAATCTCGAAAGCATAGTCTAGCTATGAACAACGGGTATCATGGGACAATTCGAATCCGTTTAAATGATAATTTGAAAAGCTAGTTGGCACCTAAAGCTCTCGCTATATCGGTAGTGGTCCGTGTAACGACCAAACTGAATGGGCAATGTCGGGCAAACTGAGGATCGCGTGTATATAACTCTTTGCTCACTAGTTTGCATATTACGCAACAAGCTAGTCTGCAATATAAAAGTATTCCGCGCGTGTATATATTTTAATTAAAACAGATGTGAAAAAAAGTTGTAATCGCTTGCAGAAACTAAAGCAAGAGATTCACGCGGTGGATTCGAGACTTGATAGCGTCTCGCCGCCGTTTAACGCTCGAGACATTAAAGCACTTTCTCGGCATTCGAGCGCGAGTACTTCCAGTGAAAATACACACATTTTGTCGTACAATTAACGTTGGTAAATTTGAAATAATTTCGGCATTTCGTTGGTTAAAACTGGTTAAGGGCGCGCGGTCAGTTTGCGCGAGTGGAAGCGGAATATCAATAATTCTATTAACATGCATTCCTTTGCGGCTCTCAATGGGGGATACGAAGCTATTACCAAATTTCGCTTACGCGACGGTCGCGCGGCGGGAAATGCGTGGCGATTGCGGTAACGTAGCCGAGAGAGAGAGAGAGAGAGAGAGAGAGAGAGATTGAGTTTTCCCGGGAGGGTGTGCGTGTCCGCGTGGAAAGCGACGGGGCTTTATCGTGTATACGCTATAATTGTAAGTTGCGCGACTCCGGTCGTATCAAGGAGTCCGGAGTGAATGCCGTTAGTTCGAATTCCGCCGAGCTTCGCGGTTCCGCAACTGCAATTGCGTGGCTCCCGTCGAGCAATACGATCCCGACTGACCCCTGCGCAGCTACTGCTGCTGCTTACTAAAGAGGGTGAGAAAGGGAGAGGATGGTGTCGCCTTCCTTTGCATCCGGGAAATCGGAGTGCCGGAGGAAAACAGTTGCGGCGGACTGCGAAGGTCCCCGCAGTCTTGAGAGTGCCATGGCGAGCTTTACTTGGCGATTGCTCGGAGTAATCGTTTTCCACGGTAACGTGTTTATTCTTGGATTGTTCATTGCTCCGTGAAACGCAAATGAGGTTCCGTCGCGACATTACGTAATTTGTCCGAGTGCGTAGTCAATCTAGAGTTACTTTTTAATTATTTGGCCGCTGAGGGCGTTGTGGTGTACAGATTAGCGGCATTACTGGGCAGTTCTCGGGGATTGGGCCTTACTGGGGCATTATAAAGATAAAATAAGATAAGACAAGCTAAATAAGATAAAATAAGAAAGTAAGATAAGGTAATACCCACTGGGCATTAATAGGCATTGGTGTACATGATTTTAATCAGCGGTTTGTCCCTCCCTTGGACACCCTCGGAGATGTCTCACCAATGGTTCAATTAATTTACCATTAAGCGTCAGTTTGCATTAGTCGTGGAAGCGAGACGATAACTTTGTCAATTTACATAAAACTGACGGTAAGAAGGTAAATTATATTCCGCGGAGTATTTTACGACGGCGCCGTCTTTTACGGCGAGGTACGTTTTATTGCCGCGAAGGAATGTCGCAACGTTAATGGGTAAATTCAGTTGAACGATGTACAATCGTGATAATCCGCGCGGAAGCTACGCGCAAGAGACACTCGCGTCTCATTCTCATGGAACTCGCGGCAGCTTACGGGACGTGATAGACGCGAGTGGTATCAAAGCAAACTTTTGCGCCGGCGATAGTTCAAATTCATTGGACTCCGCACGACATGTTTACGTGATAGTCATCCGTAAGCGGTAGATTGTTTGCACCGGTCATTGCATACGAACGAGATGCAACCGATGGATTCATAGCTTATGTGTCCAGACCGAAATAACCTGTCGCGCTTGATTGCGAAAGCTGTGTTTTTTTTCCTCCCGTACACCAGCAGACCGTATTGGATTGAATTAATCGGTAGTCCCGCAAAATCTGTTTGCAAAGTGTATTGTTGAGCGATTTAATTCAAATACGCTTTATGTAAACTGAATATTGAAATTTCTCGCGTCGATTTATTTTTACTAATTCGTTGTTACTCCAGCGTAACATAATTATCAAATCGGAGCGGGGAAGAGCGTTGGAGTGATTTTTATTAAGTTATATTCGGATCAGCAATTACGTTATTTTGGGCCAAAAACACAATGCTAACCATTTCGAATCCTGTTGCGCGCACAGACGTATGAGATAATGGTCTCGTATGCCCATATCTCGCAGATATTTGCAGAATAACGTAGGATATTATAACCGCAAACATACTTGACCGCAAAACCGCGCGATTCTTCGCTTCAATGGCTCATTATATTCATATTACAATGAAGGATTCGAATACTTGGACAATAGTTTTCGCTTAAAAACACGTATATACATTTATTGTTTCGTTTCCGAAATTGTTCTGATATTTTGCAATAGCTGTTAAATAACTTGAAATTAATTATCACTTCTTATTTTCTCCGACGTGAAACATTTTATTTTCGGCCCTTTGTATACCGAGATAATTGCAGAGGGCTTGGAAACTGCATTGACTGTATCGTTGAAACGCGAAATAGCTTTGTAAATTGCGGAAATGTTTTATTCCTGAATTATCGCGAGATTAGATTTTCGTACAAGCGGTAATGAACGCACAGTCGACGGTAGCTCGCGCTGCTCACAATTTCCGCCTGAAGTCGTAGGAGGTATTAGTTCGAGTTACAGAGACGTCGGCGTCTTCGGAGTTGCAATTGCATGGTAGAAGCAACGTAATAACTTCTATTGCACGTGGGACACGATTGCCTTGTACTGTTACGATGTCCGCGGGATAGAATGACAGGAGACTTACCCCTGATTAGAAATGAATCAGTATCTCGGTAACTGTGACGGTAATTGTGCCAATTAATGATTTATCCATGACGTACTCAGTGTCTTGTTACCTATTACGCTTCCCGAATGCACTAATGATTTTAATGGTCGATGTCATTTAAGGGAATGATTATCTCAAATTGGTAGCTTTAACGTAGCCATCCTGTTCGTTAATTAATATTTGTATGCCAGAAAAAGCACCGACCGCAATTGAATTAGCAACAACAAAATGCGTAATAATATCACATGTCGGCATATCGATTATCATAGTATATATTATCTCCTATTATGTTCCCATCTGCTCCTCCAATAATTTCACGACTGCAAATAAT